ACCTGTTGTAAAAGCGCTATATAAATAAACTTTGACTTGACTTGAAACAGTGGTTTCCTAAAGGCAAGTGAGCCTGCAACTGAAAGTTCATGGGTTCAAATCACAGGACTGACTGGATGAATATCCTTCGTTGTGCCACTGGGTGCAAGTTATAGCTTAGCTTAACATAGTAAAATCACCCCATTATATTTTGCCATTGAGTACAGTAATTGCTGTACTTCTTTCATGTTGGTGGACATGAACACAACTGATTAATGAACTAACACTGATTATTGCATTTAACTGGTTACTATATTATCAGGATTACATGTTTGTTGGGGTTAATTCATCAGAAACAGCAGCAGCTCAATGGTATTGAATGGCGCTGGGCCAACAGTGTCTAGGCACGTCATTATTATTAGTCATTATTGTTTACAACTTTCTCCCAGCAGTCAAACTGCAGAGCACACCCTGGGAACATGTGACGTCATCACATAACTCATAAATCAATTTGACATGTACTGGGTTCTAATACTACTAGCCAGTCAACCTACACTGTAGTCCTGACTTATTCAGCAGACAGTAGGCCTCACTAAGTTCAGGTAAGACAATGATAACCCCCTTACATCCTTTATCAAGCCAGTGGGTAGCACTGTTCATGAAAGTGGACATTGATTTATGACCCATGCAATTTTCATGGCCGGCCACAATTAGGAGGAGTTTTGCATGTGGTGTGAGAACAGAGATGATTGCGGTGCAGTTCATTGCTTATTGTTCTCTATCTAACTGTTGTTCTTGCTGCTTTCAGGTCCTGTAACGCGTTTCAAGCAACTGCTGGCTTCTCTCTTACCTTCCTTATCATTAGTCTGAAAGAAATCTTGCATAGTACACTTTTCTGGAGATTATTAGCTGTGGTTCTATGAACTTTCTACCTGTACATTATTGATTCAATAATAAGTACTTAATAGAGATGTTTAAGAGCTTTGCTATGGCTCTGTAGCTTTGCATCAGTTTGCATTGAAGTCTTTATTTCTCTATTTTCTCTATAGTCTCTATTTACTAAATAATAAGCCTAAGTATGTACTAAGCCTGGGATTTTAAGGGGTTAATAATGTTGTCCTTAGGAATTTTAGGAACCTTCTTCATCAAGACCAAATATCAATAATGACATGAGGTGACATAACTGACTTCATAATACGGATTACTGACAGAAATTTTGGCCTCCACAGAAAGAAAAATAAAATGTTGACTAGAATAGAATAGATTTTAGTATCCTATAGTATACTTAAGTGCTTATTTCACATTTAAAATATAAAGAATTAAAATGTCAATACTTGAATCAGTACTTGCACGTTTATTCTATTATGTAAGTGTATTTGAACTTTACTAACATTCAAGAGTTTACTAAAATGGTTAAGGCAAGTTAATTTTGAAATTATTGAAACAATAATAAAAACAATGATAAAATCAATAAAAGAAAAAAGACCTTTTACTTTTATATACTTATGTTTAAATGTCTCAAGTATATTTTTGACTCCATACTTTCACATTTATTTGAGTGATATTTTGACACAGTACCTATATTTTCACTCAAGTATAGTTTCTCTGTACTTTTTTCACCCATGCAAACAATAAATACTGTTTTCTTATCTTTGACACAAAGTCAGCAGTGTTAAACTCTGCCTGCATGCAATTCAAAACCACCCACAAACTGTATATTTCTATGTTCATATACAAATATTTGCAAACATAATTAAAAACTGATACACTGCAGTTCAAAACCTAATGTCAAATTTGAGAGGAAAGAAGTTTCCTTAGAAAGAAAGACTAACTTAACTACATTCAAACCCTTTGAAAATATTTATAGTGATGAAAAAACAAACAACCAAAACAGCAAACAAAAAAAATGCCAGTTCTGGGATTTTAGTGCATGCACAACAGGGGTTTGGCACTTGAAATCCACTGGTGCCGTGGTATTTTTGAACCTAGTTTTGCTCATGTGCACATGTTACTGACCCATTTTTAGCAAAAGGCCAAATGTCATGTCATAAATAGTCTATTTCACCCAACTACATACAAGTGACTGAATTATTTTATCAATTACAAATAAAAACATGCAATTCAGTTGTGTTTTGCAACGATCATGCAATGTGTTTTCATTACATCAAAGCAAATCACTCAACCCATGACCGAACTTGTCCGTTTTGGATGTGTTGCTAAAATGTAAGCAGGTTAGATGTCGCTGTCCAGTAAAAAAGGAAAGAAGTTGTGGGCTAGTTCTGTGCAGATGATAACAGGCCTAATACTGTTTTTAACTATTTTAACCAATTCTGTCACTGAATGAGTGCATTTCATGTATTTTTGTTTTCAACCTTTTTAATTACCTCCTGCTGGATGTATGGTTGGGTATTGAATCTTCTCAAGTCTGATTTTAGCACGTAGTTTCAATTTGTGTGTCACAAACACCCACAAAGTTTGCTTCTCTGTATACTGTGACTATACTTTTATTGGCTGATGTTATATTAGTTTGGTTCTGTGGGTTGTGTGTGAAAATGAATAGGATAATGTCCATAATGATGGTGGCTACTAAATATGAATCAGACAGTAAGCGTCATTATGCATGAAACATGATAACAGAATTGATCAATGTCTAACAAAACTTAAAAATTAAATATCAGACTTCAATTTTTAGGAAATGCAAGGCGGGTTTATTGGTATAAGAACCTTTCATACACAGTGGCGATTGAAAGGGTTTTACACAAACAGAAAAATAAAAGGATTAGATAAAAATACAGCCTTTTAACATTCCTGAGATCTAGTACCTCAGAAAAGAAAGAAAACATGCTATATTTCACAAGTATTGCACTTTATTTAAATCATAAAGTAGCTTGACCTGCTAACAGACTAATAGTGAACAAGGCACCTGAAATATTCAGTTACAGACTTAAAGTGTAAATCGAAAGTGAATGTCTATTTATTCACCAGCTGATTGTATTTTAGTTACAGCAGCTATAAGGAGAACAACGGTTAGCTTGATGCTTATGGAATTAGCATTTATGCTAGCAGTGTTAACTGCCTAAAGAGAAAGCTTATTTGCATAAACACTGCTGTGTGTGACAGACACATGGCTGTATTTGGGTCTTAAATGATTAAATGGCAGATAATTTGGCTTGTTTCAAGTACACATCTTACAACAACTAAAATTATCTGCTAATACAGTGATCGACTAAATCGACTTACTATAATCAGCTAAACCAATTCAATAATAAATTAAGCTAAATAATCTTAGATTACAAAAATCTCAAGATGAGAAATATTAGATTTAGTGAACAGATTTAAGATAATTTCACTTGCCAAGATACCATTTTTTGCAGTGTAGAGGAAAATCTGCCAAATGAACAACAATGTGCCTTTACAGACTGCATTTAGTGCACTAATCAGTTACAGTTAGTTAACTTTTGTCCTATGGTGGACCATAAAAATCAACCCCTGGCTGTTGTATAAGGCCTAAACTTGTGATACCTCCAACCAACTACAGGACATTTGTAGAGGGTTTTCTGGCACATATAATTCAGTGCTGTAGTCCTAAGAAAAATTAAAAAAGCTGTGTGTGCTATAAATCAACAAGTAATGTTAAGCATACAGTTTGTATAGTGTTGTATGGGTTTGCACTGTCACACCAATATATTAGTTATAACATTCAGTTTTCAATCCCAATCACTAATATTTACCTGAAAAAAATACCAGCATGTCTGCCACTGACTGCAGGAAGGTTGAACACGTGGAGTCTTGTGGTTGTAGCTATAGAAACAGACTAAACCAATCAAAAGTGTTGATTAAACGTTGAATTGACCAATCACATTGTGCTCCATGAAACTCACGTGTAATGTATTTCTTCTCCCTAACTTTTGAGGCATTAAACATTAAACATATCAATTTAAACATTAATCCATAATCAATTGGTTTTGAAGTAGATGTTTAATGTGACTAAAAACCACCATAAATAAAATAAAAATATATATATAAGCACGGAATTTTATTAACTTTTTTCAAACAGTTTAGTAGGTTACTTCTCAAAATACACTGACGGTTACCTGCTGCAGCAAGCTTTAAGTGCAGCCGAGCTTCCTTTATGCTGCAGTAATCTGGAATGGCCTGTTTACAGTATCCAGCATGAACTGCTATTTGTTTGCTCCCGCTCTGTCACTCACATGCGCATAATGAAAGACAGCACTCTGTACAACTTCCCGCTTAGTCGTGAAATAATACTGCCATTAAATCTCCCCAAGAAACACTGCAGCGTATATAGTATTTAATAACACGTCAACCACGATCTTTTTAAAATTCATTTAGGATTGAAACCAATCATTTGTCATTTTGCTTCTTATCTGGCACAGAAATATTTGTCAGCAACACGATTCAGCCCTTACCAGAGAATTTACCTCTTTTTTATGGCTGCGTCCAAAACCGCATACAACTATACTATACTATACATACTAAACTGATAAATGAACTTCTAAGTGTGGCGTACTGGTTTTGCCATACTAGTTAGTATGGTAGTATGTGGTTTTGAACGCAGCATATGACTTGCACTCGGGAAATCTATTTCTCAGGGATTGCTCTGTCCACAACAATAATGGTTAATGGTCAAATAATATCTTTTTAGAGAGGTGAATGCGCGGCAACTGATGTTCCAATCTCTGTGCGCCCCTAGGACGTGTTATTTCTTCTTCTGCGACACCTCAAGTGCTTAGGGGAAGTGAGTAGGGCTGAATTGGGACCGAGGGAACACTTTAACGTGACGCTGTGCGTGTGTATTTATTCACAGTAGTTTTTAAGTCTTACAAGAATTGCGAAATAATATTTAGTAGCGAGCACGTTACTTATTTCGAGTGAGTAAGCAACGTAATTTTGAATCTCATTCAGGATTCTATGGGAACCAAACATTCGGCATTTTCTCTTCCGACACGGAAATATTTGTCGGCAACACGACTCAGCGCCCTTCATCTCCCTTCATGACTTCCACTTGGGAGAGTCTACTTCGCGGGGTTGCTCTGTCATTAGCAGCAATCTTTAACGGCCATGTAATACATTTAAAAGAGCAACTTCAACGTGAACGTTAAAATATGTATACCGGGAGAAAACAGGCCTGTATTCTGAGCTGGTGTGTGCGGTAACTGAGGGTCCGAAATGATTCCTAAGCGCCCCCACATCTTCTTGTTTCTTCCTTTGTCACACCTCCTTGAGTCGAAGTGCCTAGGGGAAGTGAGTGAAGACGGAACTGCGACCGAGTGAACGCTTGAATGTGAAAGAGTTCAGGCGGTACAGGGACATTTTGAGATTTTTGCAATCTTACAAGCACTGGGAAATAATGTCGTAGTGTCCGTAGGTGCTGTAGTGTAATGGCCGAGTTAGTAAATTAGCCGAACGTGATAACACGGATTATAGTTAGTGATTGTGCATTCGCTGACTACTTTTGGCATTACTGAGAATTAGTTAACCTAACTAGCTAGTTAACTTAGCTGTAGCGGCCGTTTATGAACGTTGTAAATACCGCCTAGACTGATATATAATAGGTATAAACTGTAGGTTAGTGTGAATAAATAAACTGAACTATTTTAATTAAGCCTAGTTGTGAGGTGCCTCCATAGTTAAACCCGTAAACTCACTCAGTTAGGTTACAACAACTCCGCTTACAGCAGCATGCAGTGTGCGCTTGTAAGCTCGTCAGGAGCCCGTGTGGAGCTGTCCGATGGCCGAGCCCTGATTTTCGGTCGAGGTCCTGAGTCCGGAGTCGCAGATAAAAAATGTTCGAGACATCAAGGTAAATAATGAGAGCACAGCACAGTAAACTCGACGTGTTAAATACAGGAGCGGGAAATATGATGATGTGTTGTTGTTATCGTGATAAATTACACAGTATGCTTTACTGAGTGGTACTTAAAGAACACTAACCAACTCTATAACGTTAGTTCATTACAAAGAGAGCATAATTAGTCATGTATAATTGGATTTAGTGCAGCAAATGTGTGAAACGCTGAATAAAAGTCATTGTATTCATAGTTTTTTTAGTATGTAATTTTGACTCATTCAGGTCTGTTTTCTTTCTTTAGTCAAGCTTGTGGCTGACTATGCCAACCGAGAGATTCTTGTGACACAGGTAAACTGTGGGCTATGATAGACTATCGACAAAAGCCTTGAATAGCTATTCAGATCCAGTTATACGTAACAGAAAATATACAAAAAGAATATGACCCATTTTTATATGCAGTCTTGACTTTCCACAGCTTGGGCCAAACCCATCTTCCATAAATGGCCAGGCACTGGGCCGGGGTCAGTCTGGAAGTCTTACTGTGAATGGCACGCTTCACCTGGTCAACCAGAGTTACCCGTTTACTGTGCAGTTTTCTGGCACAGCAAAAGGAGCCTCTTCAGATTCTCCTTGTCAAGGGAAGGAGAAAGGAAGAAGCGATGAAGGGGGACACAAGCAGAAAGCCTCGAGTAAAACGGTTGAAAAGGCAGCGGCCAAGAGGAGCATCCAGGATTTCTTTGCTTCCTCACCTAAAAAGGTATCTATGCCTAGGCTGTGGATGGGTTGGCATATTGTTTGGCAAGTTTACATTACATTAGGGATTTTTTAATGGATTTAAACCAACTTTTTAAATGCTTCCACTGTTTCTGATAAGTCAACAAAAAGACCACTTTGCTCCGAAGATGACACGTCCAACACCAAACGAGGGCGCACTGAGAAATCTGATGAGGAGGAAGATGACCTGGTAGAAGAGAAGCTCAGGCAGCTGCAGGAACTCTCAGAGAAAGTGACAACTCAGCAGGGCCTGTCGAAACCAACAACCACTGCATCCTCTGCCTGCTCTCATAGTCACTGGCAGCAAGTAGGCAACCTCATGCTCTACACTGCTGCAGGGGTCACTGGGAGCTCCAAGGTGAGAAAGAATGAAGCAGGTTTGGAATGAAAGTAGTTGTAGTGTTGTTGCTCTGTTTTGTCCTGCATGTAAACACAGTTACTACAGTAGCTTTTTATTGAGAAATATTGCTAAAGTTCTGTCTTTTTTTTGCATTTCGCAGCGACACAGAGAAATTTGTTCATGCATTTGTTACTGAGTAAACAGCTGAGTACAGTAAGCAGAGTTGATTACTGTAATGCTCTTCTTACTGGGCTCCCTAGTAAATAATAAAGCAATTCATCATCTAAAACTTGTACAAAATGCAGCAGCAAAGAGCCTAGTAAAAACAAAAAGAGCACTCATATTACCTCAGTTTTAAAAGAACTACCCTGGCTACCTGTATCTTTTAGGATCGACTTTAAAGTTCTGCTACTAGTTTTTAAGACTCTAAATGGCTTTAAAGCACCCTCATAGAATGTGTGTCTGTTCCAAAATGTGATCTTAGATCTGCAGGTACTGGCCTTCTGCAAATACCTTCCATTATATACAGAAAACATGGGGAGGCCTCTTTCGGTTATTACGCTTCTAAACTGTGGAACTCAATTCCACCTTTTATTAGACTATCAATGCTTTCAAGAAACAATTGAAAACATATCACTTTAATTTAGCATTTAATTAAAATTCTACCTCTTTTTTCAGTTTGATCTGTCTGCCCTATATGATTATAATTGAATACTCATAATTTGTTCTATTACTGATAAGCTTTATCATCTGTCACAAAAATACTCTGAGCTGCCAGCGGTATGAGAAGTGCTCTATAAATAAATATAATTTTTATTATTATACTCACTCCCATTTTAACTTCAAGTGCAACTTCTTTTAAGCTCTTTTTGCCAAAGACCTTTTAAAACAGTGTGAGAGCCTCATGTGACTCATTTTTTTTATTTTAATGTGAGAAAGTCTTGAAAGACTTGTGACAAGGTTCACATCAGTGTTCATTACACCGCACTGCTTATCTCTAATGAGCTCTCTTCCAACTGCTAGGCTGAATTATCAAAGTCGGCTTCTTCATCGTATGAAATGTTCTGTCCAAGTTGTATACGGTGGTGACTTTACAAATTTATACATTTAAAATTTCACTCACAACTGATTGAATCACTAAGCTGAGGTTTGTAGAGATGGCACATGAAGTGTAGAAATGCTTGATTAATTAATTGTGAAATTGTTCCATAGTTTATAATTTTATGTAGTTTTTAAACTACATGAAGGCAAACTGTGTCCTGACTTTTCTATTGTATTTAGATAGCAGGCTTTGACATTGATGGCTGCATTATTACTACAAAATCGGGGAAGGTGTTTCCTACAAGTCCAGATGACTGGAGGTAAGGGTGGTATATTTGGTGGGGGCAGTTAGATCAAAGAGTGAACCGCTATGGAAATTGTGGGCCGATGCTGATATATTTTTTTGATACAAACACGGTTATGAAAAGTAGAACTTGAAACTGTATCCACCTGGATTAGCTGGATTAGAAAACACTTTATTTGTAGAGGGCTACAAATGCAGTAAAATGAATAATTGCAGACATTTTAGCACAGTAACCCGTGACACCTAAACATTCTGTCATTCCAGAGTTAAATAAACATGTAAGAAAATATTCATTTGAAATATCGGTCAAATCTAAACATTCGTCCAATAGCAGTATATTTTTCAAAATCAAATATCTGCCAATACCAATATGATCCTGATATCAAGCATCCCTAATTAGAACATCACTCCTTTCCTTTTTTTCTTTGTCTTTGGTTTTGAATTTCTGGCCTTTGATTTTTTACAGGATACTTTTCCCAGAGATACAGCCCAAACTGGCCAGTTTGTTAAAGAAAGGATTCAAGGTGTGGAGAAAAGACACATGAGATTACTTGCCAATTAATCTTTATGGCAAAACATTATTTTTTTAATTAGTCTAATGTTCTACTGATGTGCCTGATTTCTGCTCTGTCTCTCTGATTGTAGGTGGTGTTTTTTACCAATCAGTTGGGTATTGCTCGAGGCAAGCTCAGGCCTGAGGTGTTCAAGTCAAAAGTTGAAGATATTCTTCAGACTCTAAAACTGCCTGTGCAGGTCTGTTTATAACATGATCAGAGTGAGAATTCACCTTTATTCAATTTTATAGAGCTCAGAATTTTAGTTTGTAATATGTTCATGTCCCCTGTGTATTTCAGGTGTTTGTTGCAGCAGGCCCAGGTATTTACAGAAAACCTGTAATGGGAATGTGGGAACACTTATCTGAGAAGGTGAGACACTAAATGCCCGCTGTTGTGTTCATACCAATGAAATGGTTTAATGTAGCATATTCGTGCAATTTACAGTTAGTGTAGACATTGAGGAGAAAGAATTCACTTTGGTGCTGTTGTGGTTACTAATATTTATGATCCACATGTACAAACCAGTTCTTACAGAAGGCAAACAATAGTACATAAAAATTAAATCAGTTTATTTAAAAACATTATTAAGTTAATTATAAATATAAAATACCCAGTGTATGTTTTTTCTAGGAAAATGGTGGAGTGACTGTAGATAAATCACAGAGTTTCTATGTTGGAGGTAAGTTTACAAGTAAATAATGCTATCATTCAGAACAGTTCTGTAAAGTGTTTTGCATGTGGTAAGTTGAATGTTTAGTGAATTTGGGTCTAGTGTCTGTGTATTTTCATGCTTGACATGACATCATGTCTGCTTAAGTGTATTTTAACCAGAATGAACTTGAATGTTAAGTAAAAATAGTGATGAAATGTAACACCCTGAATACTACGATCTGTGTTTCTTGCTGGCTTAGATGCTGCAGGTCGTCCTGTGAATTGGGCTCCAGGGAAAAAGAAGAAGGACTTTTCTTGTAGTGACAGACTGGTGAGAGATCACCTTCATCTCACGATGCAGACGAAACCTCTCGCACCCCTGTTGGCCACACTGATGTGTCTAGCAGTTTGTGCTGCTTACTTTGTAGAGAACATCAGATCAACTATTTAGCGGTTCTCGATTCAGATATTCAGTTTCCTCAGGATACAGTGGATTACATTTTTGGTGATTAGACATCCTCTTTGCTTTTTGTTCCTAGTTTGCTCTAAACATTGGTCTGCAGTTTTACACTCCTGAAGAGTTCTTCCTGGGCTGGAAGGCTGCTCCTTACAACATGCCATCTTTTGATCCGGTGAGTGGCTGGCCTCTTCTGCTTGCTGATAGCTGTGTCTGGACATGATATTTTTCTTGGCACCTTTGAGTTGTTATTTGGTTTGTTTCAACCTAACATAATTGGTTTGATGTATTTTTTAGACATCAGAAGTCTTAGGTACTGTTCGAATGGGATTGCTGTAATGTATGACCCATTCGTATGGGATAAGAAACCTCTGTATAAATTACAGAAATGGGAGTGGCTAATTGATTTTCCATAAAAGTTGAAAGTTCCATACATAACTTGTTTAGCTGCTCAGAAGTAGAAAACATGTCAGACGTTTTTTTTAATATTATACAACAGTTAGTTCCGGCCACGCAAGCTGATTGGTTGAGAGGTGTTCTAACCGTGCTGTTATTTCGCCATAACACAACGGTTTTTCACAAACACTGTATCACTCCGCTAAGACGCTGTTGCTAAGCAACGAGTTTGACAGCTGTAGGAGACGCTCAAGCCATTTGAATGTTTTTACTTCTTACTCTGTGCACAAACAGAAAATGGACACTTTTAAGATCACATTTGACCGACAGCCGATTTGGTCAGACTCTAAAGATGAGACTACACTAAATTCCCAAACTGTCATCACCACTGAGCAAGCTTTTCCCTCTGTAGCTGTGACAGAACACCTAAACAACCTGGAATTAGCCAGAAATGAACCGAATACCATTCGCCAAACGTGTAGTCTCATCTTCAGAGTCTGATCAAATCGGACTGAGCCATAAAACTACCGCAGTAAAAAACATAAAAGCTGCTCAGTGGTGATGACAGTTTCAGAATTTAGTGTAAGGAGCTGGAGAACGAACTGCTGTCTGTGCTGTGAGTGAGTGGAGCTCATTACTCTGACGTAGCAACAAGCTGCTTGTTAAGGAACTATAATTTGGCGGAAGGAACTGCGAACATTAAAGCATATTAAATGACACGTTCACAGCCCAATTTATTAATTTCTTGCTTTGTTTATTTAACTGTAGTATAAAAGCAATAGAACACTCGAGGTCATGTGTTATCGCTAGATCATCACAGCTGTGATGATCTACGGTGATAGATAGATCTACTGCGAGCAAATCACAGCCATGATGTTATTTCACGATAACACACTCCCACACTCCTGTTCAATTGCTTAAGTAATTTCATTTACCCTAACTGTGTATCTAGCTATCTTAAGTGAATGAAATATCATTAGCCTTGAAATTTACTGCCAACAGTCAGCATCACCACATAAAATCAAACTTTTTTTTAATATCTTTTTACGTGTTTAAAGTTTATAACTTAAGGTAGGACAGAAAGTGGCTTGATTTAGGCCAAAAAGAATACAAGTAAAAGCTTCTACAGGTGGTCCATTCTTAAGAAAGACCCCTTTTCCACACAAGCGTGTAGTCTGTAAAAATATTTGATGTCATAATAATGATTGAGTAATAATTAACATTCCCTCACCTCTCCATGTTAAACAAATCCCATCCGACTAGTGCTTTAGAATTACTGTATATATTTTCACTTAATTGTAGCAAGCTTAGCATTTTAATGTACATACTTTGTATCTACCAGGCTGTCATATCATGCAACAAGTTGTAAACTGTGATACACTGTTATATACAAGTAGCATCATGCGTTTTGTCATGAATGACCTGTTTATAACCTCAGAGAATGTGTTACTGGACTGTATGTGTGTTTTGGAGAGATAATATATGCCAGAGTTGTTTAACCGACAATATAGAGATAATGCAAAATAGCAAAATGAGTGTTTGATAAAGTAATAATGGAGGCAGACATGATATACTGCACATACTGCGTTTCAAACTTCCAAGTAGAACAGTGCTGTCATTAGGTGTTGTAGGGGTATCACTTTAAACAACTTTTAACATACAAAACATGCATGTCTATCGCTGAAATATACCTAAATTTGCCAGGCCCTTATCAATGTTCTTTAACTGAGCCAAATGTGTTACGGCAGGGAAAACTGTATTTTGTAATATAGTTGTGTAATAACTGATTTATTGTCTCATTTTCTGGTCTCTAGAGGGCGTTAGACTCAAAGGCACGTTTGTATGATCCTCCTGATGCCTCGCTCACTTCTACCAGTCAGGAAGTCATTGTTGCTGTTGGATTCCCTGGTGGTGAGTTGTTTTTGTTTTTGCTTTTGTTTTCTTTTTAGTGATTCACCAAAGCGTCTTCTGATTCACAAAAACATGATCCTTGTTTTCATGTTTTCAGCGGGCAAATCTACCTTTTTCCACACACACGTCATTCCAAAGGGCTATGTATATGTGAACAGGGTGAGTAGAGAAGTGCTCTGCCACAGCCTACACACACAGTATACGCCCCTGAGCTTGAGGATAGGCTTTTTCGCGCTATAGTCGTGCAGAATTGGTTTAGTGTCCCTGTTCTGTTGGATTACCAAAATTATTTTAGTCTTGAGTATCATTGATAATAGTGTACATGAGTGTACTTACATAGCCTCTTGTTCTGATTTGTCCTCCTGTGGGTCTGTGCAATTCCTAGGACACTCTGGGCTCATGGCAGAACTGTGTGTCAGCGTGTGAGCGTGCTTTGAAGGAAGGCCGGAGTGTAGCTGTGGACAACACTAACCCTGACCTAGAGTCCCGAAAACGGTACTTATTTGCAATTCTGTAACAATTTCCAGCATCATAATTACAGAGAGTGTGTTTAATAAAAGTCTTACCGTCTTTGTCATTCCCTACACAGATACGTGGAGGTCAGTCGGAAGGCTGGTGTTCCCTGCCGATGCTTCAACTTCACTGCCTCCTTGGAACAATCCAAGCATAACAACAGGGTGTGCATGCCTTCTGTGGCTCTATTGATGTTGTGTTGTTGTTTATTATGCATAGCCATTATTTTGTCTGACATTTCATCAAATGCTTATCTACAAAAATACGTAATTATTGCAGACTCAGACTGTTTTAGGGTGCAAATTTTGAGCTAAAAATTAGCTTTTTTTTGAGTTCATACAGTGCATTTAGACAACATTCACAGAATGTCCTAGAAGGACCTGTCTAGATCAAAAACATTCATCATATTATAATGTCAGACTGTGCTTATAAGTTCTGTCAAAGAAAATGTTTGCCTTGTCTTCTATAATGCTCTTTAAAAATCAGGCAAATCAGAAGCATGCTCAACAACCATAATTAAAAAAAAATGAATGCTAAAAAAGACTATTTTTTGTGTGGCAGTTTGGACTTAAGCACACTTAACCTTCAGGTTCTGACTGTTTAATTTAGTCCAGATCTGAATTTACACTCTGTCTTATTCTGGCATATGACTTTTTTCTTGCTCAGTTCCGTGAGATGGTTCCCTCTGCTACGAAGCACGCTCCTGTCAATGACATGGTCTTCCACAGCTACAAGTAAGTGATTGCCGACAACCACCATTGTGTAACCATCCTATCACATGGCTATAGTAAACAGAATAATATCATTAACTTTAATATCAAATCATTAACATTAATTTGTCTTTTTTGTATTTGTGTGTACGCAGGAATAAGTTTGTTACCCCTACGCTATCAGAAGGATTCTCTGAAATCCTGCAGATCCACTTTGTACCCAGTTTCTCTGACAGTCGATCTGAGGCTCTTTTCAGGCAGTTTTCAGAGGGGTGACAAGTGAGTTTGATCACAATATGGACAAGAACAGCGAAGGACGAAACCGTCACTCACTAGGGAGTATTTCACAAAGCAGGATTTCTGTTTGCCAGACAACTTCCGATCAAAGTTGAGGATCCGTCAGGTTTTTTCCTATTGAACAGGTTTGACAGTAGGCTTAAGTTATCTGGCGAGACTGAGAAATCATTCTTTAAAATACCCCTAATTCAGTGGTCACTGACCCTCCTCCTGGAGATCTACTTTTCTGCACGTTTCACCTCCAACCCAAAACTAAAACGTCATTCAGGTCATCAAAGACTTCTAAAAATAATAATAAGTCAGGTGAGATTACTATGGTTGGAGCCTAAAGTCTGCTGGAAGGTAGGTAGATCTTTAGGAGCAGGGTTGGTGACAATTGCCCCTGTAAATCATGATACTTAAGCTTAGACAACATGCTTGACTGGCAGAAATAACAAAAGCCGTTAATTGAAAAACATAATAACTAAATAATCAATGGAAGAGGTTTGTCATGTGCAACTATGTTTTTTTGCTTAACTATGTTTCATTGTGTTTCACCAAAGAATTTGTCATGCAGTCACACTTGCTGGAATAAACACCTGCTGATTTTACTGCTTATTGTAGTAGATTTAGAAAATTACTGAGTGATATGTTTACTTGGGTACAAAAACATATAATACAGCAAACTGTACCAAATGATCAGAAAGTTTTAATTCTTTTATTTGTTTGAACAGATTAATTAAAAAAACCAGCATTTTGACATAAATCAGGATTTCATGTTTTTTTTCTGCATTATCTTTCGGGCATGTATATTTTCCTCAGTTTAATTAAAATATACTGTTAACACTAGACAATTTTTGAGACAAATATGTTGACAAAATCTAAAAAAAACAGGCTTCTCACAGAAATGATCTCTCTCAAAACTTGACATTCTATTGGTTGCCCATTGCAGTTTCTTCAATAGAAAAGTAAGATTCACAGTCTTCAAATAATGTTGCAAATATTGGTAATATAAAATAAAAGTAGGGTTAATTATTATTATGCACAGGTGCATTTGTTAACCCCATTTTTTGTGTTAAGAATTTAGGTACATGTATAAAGCAGCTATTCCATTCACTAGTGCTGTGTAATATGGTGTACAGTACTGTGCACAAGTCTTATAAGAAAATATGTAAATCTATTTGTCGAGGCAATATGCATTGTTTGTAAAAAAAAAAACAAAAAAAACACAAACATTATATTAAATATAAAGACACAATATATTATGATTTTGTGACTGTCATTAATTTCTGAACCTCAAGAAAGACCAGTATTTACATTCTGCTTCAAGCCTTCTGCTGTGCAATCGTAAGGGGCTTTCGTATTTTGCACTAGATAATACACGCCTTTTCAGTGGGACACAGGTCTGGACTGCAGGCAAACAAGTCTAGCACTCACATTCTCTCATTATGCAGCCATGCTGTTGTAACAAGTTCGGAATGTTGGCTTGCTTTTGTCATATTACAAAAAGCAGGGACATCCCTGAAAAAGATGTCACCTAGAAGGTAGCTAGAAGGCTCAAAAATGTGTATAAATCTTTCAGTATTAATGATGCCTTCACAGATGTGCAAGTTACCCGTGCCATTGGCACCAGTACATCCCCATAAAATGACAGACACTAGCTTTTGAACTCTACTCTGGTAATAATGTGAGTGGTCCTTTTCTTTGGCCCAGAGAACACATCCATTATTTCCATACACAATACAAAAGGTTTACTTATAAACCACGATACATTACCACTTTGTATCAGTTGTTTCAGACAAGCTCCAGCCCAGAGAGATTGGTGGCGTTTCTGGATGTTATTGACATGCCAGTTTTTAATGCAGTGCTGCCCGGGGGATTGAAGGTCATGGTATTTAGTTGTAGGCTTCAGCCTTGCCCTTTGTGCACAGACATTCCTTGAATCTTTTCATGGTGGTGTGCACCGTAGAGGGTGAAAGACCTAGAATGCTTGCAAGTTGCTCATTCAGGAACCTTGGTTTTATACTGGATTATTCACTGGTGCATTTTTAGCAAAGTAAAATTGACCTATCCTTACTCATAAAGGACTAGACCTTTCCTTGATGCTACTTTTACAAGCAAGCATGATTGCATCACCTGTTTTAAGATGTTTTTTGAATGTTTTAACAACATCCCTGGTCTTAAATTGCCCTTATAATTTTAGAATGAGCGAATATTTATAAAAACAAAATACAATGACTTTGATAAGGTAAAACATTTAACGGGTCATTTTTATATTCTTTTTTGTTTTGGTGCAGGTCAAAGTGGATTTTCAAATTGCTGCTTGTTGTTTTTATTTAAATTCCACATACTCTCCCAACTTTTTTGGAATTGAGGTTTGTAGATTTGACCAGTTTTCCTGGGTGCACTGTACTATATATATGTGTGATCAGGCCTAAAGAATAGAGAGATGCAAACGTGTACGATCCTACCAGCGCTCACATTACTTCAGTGTGTCATGAAATCCTTACTGTATTTGGACTCCATAGATGTACAGTATATACTGTGGATAACCTGGGCATGCTTTTATGTACACAATAATAACATATATGACAGGTGCACAGTATGGTCAAGCAAATAAGGGCTTTCCATCAGAAAAGAATGTTTATGGGGGAAAAAGGCGGTAGCTGGTGTTGTTTAACAAATATGGACGTGAATGCTTTTGCAAGCGACCATAAATGTATGAAACAAATGTATGTATGCTTAATCAGAAAAAGAGCATTGCGGTTAGTTCCACTGATTTCTTTATTGAAAAGCTACATTCATGAATTTGTACTTATTTCTGTAAATAATTTTAAAATTATTATTTTTAGATTCTCTTTACATTGTTTCTCTCACATTAAATCATATACTGATCAAGACTTGCTGACAAAATGCAAACTTTTTTTTTAAAGTATAAATAAATCTTGAGAAGCTAGAACATTTTCATTTGAAAAAACATTATTGTGCAAGAAAAGATCCCACAACTGAATGCACATTGTTGAGCTATATATACTATCAGAATAATGGATGACACTAAATTTTCTCGGCAGAGCTAAGCTTGTTTATAACAGTCCCACAGAAACGGTTTCAAGTAAAGTTTGCCATTTCTATCAGATTTTCTTAGAAAGCTCTTCAACTGTGAAAAGTCATTTGATAGACCAGTACTGAAAGGAAGGCTTTATCTAAAAATGCTAATGTTACTAATAATGAATTAAAGATTGAAAAGACCAGTTAATGTGAACCAACTTAGTTTGTTCATTTGTTATTTGTTAAAGCATTTGGTTAAAATGTTCTGTCACTAGAGATCATCTGCAAGGTGTAAGTATTGGATAATTTAAACTCTAATAGCCTTCTTTCGTTTCAGTGCCCATGTGATTACAGCAGCTATGACACATGCCACCATGGTTACCACACAGACTGAGACCACTATAGCGGTCAGGTCTAGGCCTGGATTTGAAATTGCTGGTGGTCTGGGAGTCCGTACAAAGTTTGTTGCTCGAGCAATGTTAGATACCTCAGACTTTCTCTCCTTGTTCTCTGATTGAATAGCAAAGAACAGAGTGGTTCCATTTTGGATTGTGACACCAGGCAAGAAGAAATAATGTTCAGCTGAACCTGCTTCTTGTGGTTGGAGTGCTGATGTGTTTACTAGATTAGCATTGCTGAAGTTGTTCTGAAGCATCTCCAAATGTTCGTTCCATCTAATTTCATAGGATTCAGCTTAAAAAGAAAAGAAAGACAAAGTAAGGTGAATACAGCAAAAGTGGGACGTTTTTTGGTAAACTGAAGCAGGAGACCTCATTAAAAACTCTTTATTCATATGTTCATTCAGTTTTTTTGAGAGTTGTCGCAAACCACCTAAATGTCAATGTGTTAAAACTGTGGTGAGTAAAGTTTTTGACTATAGACCCATGACCACATTTTTCATTTCAGTTCTGTTTTTTGAGTTAAAGTGGGACAGTGTGTTTAAAAAAACAAAAAAAACACGTACTGTAGTCTACTGACAGTACAGCAAAATCCAATGAAGAGCAACAAACCATTCTATAACATTTGACTTAATGAACAACAACAATCATGAAATGAACAGGCTTAATATTTTACAAAACACTTTTCGACTCTCTCTTTTCTCACTGTCCTCTCTTCTGTTCCCCTAACCATTCTTGTTTGAGTGCCATTTTGCTGTGTCTGATCCACTCAGACCAGCACAATGCACACTAATACAAAACCACCACATCAGTGCTACTTCAGTGCTAAGAATGATCCACCACCCAAATAGTACCTGCTCTGTGAGGGTCCATGAGGGTCCTGACCACTGAAGAACAGGGTGAAAGGGGGCTAACAAAGTATGCAGAGAAACAGATGGACTACAGTCTGTAACTGTAGAACTACAAAGTGCACCTATATAGTAAGTGGAGCTGATAAAATGGACAATGAGTGCAGAAACACAGAGGTGGTCATAATGTTATGCCTGATAAGTGTATACTGTGGCACCTGCCACTCGCTCCGGTTTGTCTTCTTCTAAGCCAAGACACTACTATATATTAGCAGAGCTGGCAATCAACTGTACATGGGCTTTGAGTAACTTAAAATGTTATACATTACTCAAAATAATAGGTGCTTAAGCCAGACACCAGCTAGGAAAAAAATGGGAGTGAAAAAAGAGGGAAAATATCCTTGTTTGGTAGATTGTATGTATCCACATTATCAATATGACTAATCGTATCCCTATAATGTTGTTTAGCATCCCTCTGGAGTTGGTTAAGATACATTCCCTCTCTCATTCGATTCACTTTTAAGCATGACAAGTTTGAAAATCCATAAAACAGGGTCTTTGCATATGTACAGCATGCAATCAACAAACAATGCCAGCATGGCAGATCCAATCCCACAATACAGCATGGCAAGGCATTGATTGCCAGTGCCAATAAAATGCTAGTCTGTCTGGGTGCATATGGTTTCTACTGAGTGCAACATCAAAGATTAACCCAGCTAATTAAACACATTCCAGTAATCTCTTTAACAGCACCAATGGGATTAATTAATGTTCTCTCTGCACTCTCAATGTGGTTTGTCACCCATCATGTTTATCAGGACCTTCAGTGTTAGAGCAGTGGGTCATCTAAAGTAGAACTGTGTAATATTTACCTGTTCCTTCATCCATTTCCTCGCCAGGTGCTGTCCAGTTGAGAAGCACAGTGTCCTCCTTGATTTCAGCACTCAGATCAGTGATCTTGTTGGGAGGGAAGTTCGGTGGGGTTACGCCTGAGGGCACACTCACCACAAAGCTCTCTCCAGTGACTGTTCTAGTGAAGCTGCCAACATCTGCTGGCTGCACATTTACTGGGGGCTTCTCAGGGTTTAGCTGTACTTCACCTGAAAAAAAGAGCTGAATGTCAGTCTTCATGCTGCATTTTAAAAGAACAGGCACATACTGACTCACACAGCTACAAAACTGCTTGCAAAACTGCAAGAGTCATGGTTCAGCTTCAGACTACAGGGGAGCAGTGCATTATGTGTCCTGAATAGTCTTCCCTTGGTTTTAAGAGGCGTTAAGAGTGTCTATATAGCTAGTTGCTGTAATGCAATGTGGAAGTTCAGTTTTTAAAAACAAAGCTCATGGAAATACATCTGACAACTTTCTCAGGCTGTGGTGGGGCAGTTTGTATGATTGGGAGCCTATTTATTTGGATTGTATAGGTTAGAATAGTGGTGAATCATCTCTTTAAGGGCCTATTACTTTAGTAGCTCAAGTGAATTGTGTTGGATCGAGAGAACGTTAGAATTGACTTCAGCAGCAGAACTTGTCCAGAAATCATTGCAATCTGGCAGTTCCCTTTTCAAACCCGAAAATAATGCCAAACAAAGCTGTTTTTAAGCCGTAGCAACGAAATTCTGTAAAATGCTTAATATTTGAAATGATTGCAACGTCATTGCTTTCCTGAGTTTGGCCACACAGCAGTACAGCACAGTTCTGCACCAAAGCAATTATTGACAAAAATTATGTATATTATGTTCAAACTTCTTAGAAAAATGTTTTTGCATTACAAACTAATTAGCTTACTATGGCTAAGCTAGCAGAGGGCAAGTGCATACCAGCTGAGTACTTTGCTCCTCACAGACCCCTCCTCCCCTTGTGCTGTGAGTGACATAAGTGTGACACAATTCCAAGTGGTGAGTAAAATTTGGCATGTTAAAAAAAAAATCCTGAAATGGGACCCCAGTGGTGCCACTATTGTGCAACTAGCCAGGCTCTTGTTGTGTGTAAAGATACAGTCAGGCATCAAATGTGTTTAACTTCGCTAGTCATTGGGAAGACTACACACACTTCATAGGATCTCTTTACGGTGAGATGCTGGGCTTGCTTGAGTTTTACTGCACCTTGACTTAGTGGTCCATGAGAAACACTGATTGTAGTGAAGGGAAAAAGTAAAAAAAAAAAAAGCATGACTGGAAAATAATTAGGTAACAGAACATCAGAGGGAGTATGTTACAAATCACAACTGTGATTTGATTGCAGCATGCTTTAGATCAGGATTTCCCAATCCCAGTCCTGGCAGCCCCACACTGACTGGAGTGAGATTTTCAAGGTTGCGTTCACAAGTGCATATCCCCTGTTATACTGCTTAGAGCGCCAATTTGAGCTCATAGTCATTAGTATTAGCATTAGTTTAGGAATCCATGGTTCCTAAACAGGTCTTTAAGGACCCCCAGCTGGTCCACATACCTAAACAGAGCCTTAAGAGCACCAAATACCTTGTGCAGGTGTGTTGCAGGCTGGGTTAGAGCAACATGGATTTTTAGGCAGCTGTTTTTGAACTGTTTATTATGGCTGGATTCTAAGTTTTCAAATACCATTAGCCTTTAATGATTTTAATGAAGTATAACTGTCTTGTTCAAGGATAATTAAGCAACATTTACAGTGATTTGGTTTTACTTCTCATAAAGCACGTTTCCTTGCGCTTTCTAGGTGGACTGTTGACGGCAGATGACGTGGATATGAAATTAAAACAAACAAAAGTGGAAACTAACAAATAAGTAGCTGAGGTAAAGAATTTAGGCTGTGTTATGCTCACAGGAGGGAGCGGTCTTGGGGAGGGTGCTAGTGTTCTAAATCTGCTAGTTCAGCTGTTCCAAAGACATATCAGTATCTAAAAAATGAACAGTCAAGTTGCGTGGTATGATGACAGTTTACCATACTTGCCATCCACAATATATCCAGGAACATACAGTGCGCCACTGTATCTGTTGGGCAAATTCTTCACAACTTCATCTTGGTCTGACACCTGCACTTTCAGGCTGTACTTTCCAGTCTTTAATTTTGTGAAATATCTAGAATAGATGCCATCATCTTTAAAATCATCAGCTCCTGTAAAAGAGCAGTTCTTTGGTCAGTATGTACAACATCTAAAATCTATTTAACGTGAGCTCATGTGGAACATAATTTAAATTATTAATATGACCTGTAATGTTTGATAATATTTTTGAGAATTTATGCATGTAGACAGAATTCAATGGTAGTACCTGCTCCGTTATCCAGGAGGAGTAAGTTTTCTGAATGTCCAGTATCTGACTGAAGGGTGGCTATAACCCAGCACAGGAATGTAATTTTGAGTGACCTCAGCAAAAACTACCATGGGTTTACTGCCATCACTGGTTTGCTGGTTCATTTGGGCCTTAACCATGACTGGAGGAACATCATTACGGGCTGCCCGACTTGTTACTGTTAAAGTCATAGTTTGAGGAGTTGATTCTGTGTTAAGGAAGCTGTATCTCCAGTTTCCAGTCTGCAATGCACAAGAGGAAGCAGGAATAGTTCACCAAGTCATGATGTTTTATTGCCATTCATTCATGCATTAAAATATTAGTCAAAGATTTCAGTGAAGCATGTATTAACTCTGCAAAAATGCTGCCATACCTCTGCAGTTCCAGGAACATTTAAAGTGATTGTCTTTGTATCTGCATTATCAGTGATATGTGTCTGATTATACACTGAACCACTTGGCGTCTCTATGTACACAATGGGTGTTTCTTCATAGATAATTGTAAATGTGGTGCTGTTTCCTACAGTGCGGTCTATGGGCACTGTCCCATTGAACCAGTCATGAGTAGTATTTCCAGTGCTCACAAGCTGTACAAGAAAAAAAAAACATCAGTGAGGTACACATGCTGACTCACAATGCGGAACCATTTTAAACAATGAAAGCACTGTATGTAGGTCACCTGAATTGTCTGTTTGGTGGGATCTCCATCCGACATTGTAAATGAAGAGAAGGCATCCACAAGTTCATTGGAAATGATACTGTCACTAGCAACCAGGAACTTTCCATCTAATCGAACGAACAATAAAGTAAATATTTTAGATCCAGTATCAGAGTCACTTTGCAGATCCCACCCAATCTGATCACTGTGGTGGAATGAGCTTAAAGCTTCAACATATTAAATATATGTGAAATTCTAATAGCTGACGACCAACCTTTAGTTATCTCAGTGATACACTGCACATCATTAATCTGACTTTATCCTACCTGTTAGATCTGCCATGGTTATCAGCACGTTAGAGGCACTCGGACCAAGTGCTAGAGTGTTGATGATGGCACCACTGTCCACAGCTAACGGCAAACAAATCTGAACATCATCTGTCGCTTCACCATCTGTTAAAAAAATCACCTCATCTCCTATTGTGCTTTTATCATCTTCCTGAAGGACCTGAAATACATGATAAACAAGGATACTGGGCTTGGTTTTCTGGACGAAGAGAATCCCCAGTAACGAAGAAATTGAAATCATATCCAAAACATGCATTAAACACTCTGTAACAAGCAATAACCTATAGATTTAACACACATATTGTTACTTACCTCAAAGCCTCGTCTAAGTCCATTGCACATATTTGTTGATCCAGACGCAGATGTTGGCAACTTACTAATCAAACTTTCTCTTGAGGCTTTACCATCTATTTTAGTTAGTCCGATCACAACATTTGCATAAGCACTAAACTGGACAATGCCCACATGTGCTCCCTCCTCCACAATGTCACGTAGGAAAATTGTAGCAGCCTGCTGTAGTCGCTGTAACCTCTGGTTGCTCTTTAAACAAGAGATGAAAAACAAATATTAAAATTTTTTTACAGGAAATTCTCTAATTTATAGAACAATTGCCTCTATATTTTCATGAGGAATTTTTATATAGTGCTTATATTTAAATTGCTTTTAATCGCCCTGGTGACAGCAGATATCATAGTTTCTTACATCAGAAATCAGCAGGTCACTATGCTCTGACAATTTTGCTGTCTAGTCCTTGAAATCTAGCAGATGATTTCTTATGAGCAAAAACATATGTGAAGCACCTCTACAAGCCAAAGTGCATAGTTGTCACTGAAACTATGGCAAAATCAAATGAGACTTCGCAGCAACATGTTGTTTACACCTGCCAGCCTACAAGATATGCGGGCATTGACATATGCAAGTTACTGATAAAGAACTATTAGTAGCAAACAGTAAATCTAGCAAAAATAACTCTAGCAGATTTTACTACTGTAATATGCACAGTGGAACCCAACAGTTGAGACACTTTCTAAAGACTGTGAGTGTGAGGCAGCTGACACCTGGTTTTCTTTACCTGTTTTGTAATGAAGAGTAAGAATTTGATGGCATGATTTAATTAATTTGATAATAGAATTGCCCCAGCCCTAGTCAGTTTTACAATTAGCCACTTCAGTTCTAAGAAAGCAGTACTAGGAGACATCTGTCACAATTTAACCTCAATTTAACAACATGAAATACCACACTGTAACATTATAGCAGCCTTTATAAATTTCCTTATATTTTTTTCCTTAGCTGCCTTCATCTTTTTTGCCTTCATATCTTAAGTATTTACACTTTTTGCACTCACTGGTCATTTTACTGGAACCACAGTGTAGGTCCACCTTGATGGTGTTTAGTTAAAACTGTAGCCTTAGCTGTCATCTAGCACTTAATCAGTTCTAAGTTTCTGACCACAGAACCACCCATGGGTATTTTTAGGGGTTGGACCATTCTTCACCTAGCTGTAATTCTGAGGTGCGTACAAATCCCACTAACACCCCTTGTACCATAGTTAGGCTCACAGCTATGTGAGTACATGTGTTGAAAGTGGTCTATTGTGTTGAGAATGTGGGGGTAGAATTTGCCCTGCTTGATTTATTGCTAAATGCAGATACCAAAATAACGTGCAATAACATGGTGCAGGTGTATGCGGGTGTGGAAGACACATTTTGCTGTTTTTTTTTAGGATTGGGTGCATGTCATCTTAAAAAAAAAATGTTAAAATGAGTTGGGTTCAAATTAATTATTATTAAAAGGTGTGGTTAGGAGCAATACCCATCAAATCACCTCCTCTCAGCCCTCTCACATTCTTTCATTTCTAAAGGAAAGATGATACAGACTGCATCAAACAACTGGGTCTAAATGCAGTAAAAAGGATATTTTTGGACATTTCATTGATTCTCTAAATTATGTGCCATACAAAATCACATCAGTTACCTGATTCACAATTAGTTACCTCAAATTGTTTGCTGACAATTAAATAATTAACTTATAATTTATATAGTATTTAATTTATATAGTATTTATATAATAATATAATAGTATTCGTAAAGAACTTATTTATATAGTAGTTGGGTGAAGTAATCAGGAACAGACCATATGGTCAGGCCATCATCAGTCCTAAACTGTTGTACAAGTAAACATTAAAATAAATATGTTGCATCTCACCTCATAGCTCTGCTAGAGGCATTTGCCAATGTATCTGTTGCACTGTAACAATGTTACTTAGCAGAAGATACTTGATAATGACATGAACATCATCTCTACTTTAAAAGTTTTGTCAAAATATGCCACATCATAACATACATTCATGCTTCCAGAGACATCAAGGATGAGGCAGACGACCCGACTTCGCCTCTGGATCACCCTGAATGTTGGAGCTGATGGTGGGGATTGTAGAGGTTTTAAAGTCTGAAGGGCGTCTTTGTCTACAGAGTCTTGAAAAATCACTGTACGCGTAGCTTTGTTGTTACATTTCTGGTTCTGCATGTTTGGGGCTTCAGCATTATGTTCCCCCTCATGACAAAATGCTGTCACCTGCAGAAAGAATTACTGTTAGGCAGTGCCGGCATCGAGCAGTAATGACTCAAAACTATTACAGGTCAAAGTAATGTCACTGATGGCCCAGTGATTATAGATGCTTACTAGTGTACTATTGTGATCAGTATAGGGCTTCTTACTACATATTTTTATTTACAAACTAAGAGTACACATCCATTTTATAAATAAAAGTAAGCCGAATATTATATTTACTCTCAACTTACAGAGTTTATGCTTTGCATGTACATTATCGAAGCATTTGTTTTTTGCTCTCTGTCTGGATAGAACTGGCATTCCTTAGTAGGTAACCCAGTTTGCACATTATTGCGACAAGGCAGGGTATTTCCATTGATCAGTTCAAACAACTGTCCAGATATCTCCCTGGTACATCTTTGGTAAACAAATACACAAAAAGATATTCAGAAGTATACAATAAGTTTGATGTCATGCATGTTTATTTTATGAGAAATTCTAAGTCAGAAAGTTGATACAACCTTGTTGGTTGGACCTCCTGGGTAACAGAAAAGTAGAATGGCTCCTTCTCATTATATTCATCATACACCCCCCATCTGAGGTGAGCCCATTCATGAACAAAAACCCTTCCTGAAAATAAAACATTTATGGACAGAAGAGGCCACAAGTCCGTGATTACATTCTCGTAAATTTCTGCAATATCTGTTGCATGTTGATCACTACTGACATCAAATGTAATACATTGTGAAACACAAATGTCTTTCAAATTTCCTGTTAAACTGTGTTTGTTATCTGTCTTTTCAGGATACAACCAAAAAGATTTATTTAGCGCTTACCTCTAGGCCCATATGCATTAAGAAGATTGTCGTTTAAGAGGAAGTTTGGGGTGAAGTGAATGTACTCGCTCTCCTCTCCACAACCTTTCATCTGTTTAGTGTACGGGTCATCACCGAATGCTGGGTGTGGGAGGTCAATGATTACGTTGGCCTGTAATTGGAATGCATAACATACTGCAAGAAGAGTCTTACATACAGCACAAACAATGAACACAATGTCTAGAATATATATTATTACTCATATGCAGTATGTTACCTCCACAAACTATCTTAAGGAAAACTCAATTTTATACCTTATCATAGGTTTCTCTCCTTGCTCTGTCATAACTTCCATTCCAGTTCGGTGGTACAAGTATTTTCACCTCCTCGAAGAACACCTTGTTGTCTAAAGCTTGAAACAGATATTCTGATCCACTAGTAATCATTTCCTGGGACAAAAATCAGTAAAGCAATTCATAGTGTCAGTATCACAACTCAAAAACTGCAAATAGCAGGAAAAACAAGTCTCACAGCTTTATGAGTGCTTTCCAAATTCAAGTTCACAAGTAAACAAAGAGTGAAAACAAAAGGAGACGAAACAAGATGCAAACACAAGAACTGGGTCATATTTGCACTGCATATGATGTTAGTTTAGCCATGCATCTAGTAGAAGTAGTCTTTTGAGTAGAACACACAAAGCTAATCCAACCTGTACAACCTAAAATGTGGGCCTCAACTGTGTGCAAACACTGCTTCACCCATTTCTGGCACTTTATTGTCTTAAAATTACAGGAAGTACCGCACTGATGACTGGTTCATTTTGAACTTAGATACGTATTTTAAGTTTACAGTGAATTTGTTTTCCCAGTAATTTGCAATGTTAAAAATGATAAAATAAAACAGCAACTGATTCTTTTTTGTTTACTTTGAGTGCTGACAGGTTAATGCAGTGCTTAACACATGCAATCTCTCTCATTTCTAAACATGGCTTGATTTTGCGAATCAGTTAAATAAAGAGGTGACAAAAAAAATCTACACTTAGGTGGTTCTGGAGCAGAGCTATATGCTTGTTTACAATACGGAGCTAGCAATAGCTGCTAGTGACATTTTAACCCTCACTAACCAGGCCGATGATGTCCAAAGAGATTCTTGGCCAACGTTCCAAGCACCAGTGTTAGGGACATTAGTGACCAGCTTGAAGCAGAGGCTCACAGGACTGCCAGTGGAACACTATTCCTGCACGTTTGTGCTTTCACTGCTCTGTTACAAATAATCAGAGCTGGGCAGCCTGGTTTCCAAAATCATCTTATTGTTAAGTTCCTCCAGGAGCAGGTTTGGGAAACACTGCACTAACCCCAGTGGCCTTTAATAAGAATACCCATCGCTGGCCGTCCTCCGACAGTCCTGCAAGCTTCTGACCGAAAATATCCTACATACAGTTTTGTGTATTGAGCTTACTATAAATATGCACTACAGCAGATGAGGCTGAAGTCAGCAGTGTTGCCAGATCTCATGACAGAAACAAGCAACCAGGTCTGCCTTTACAAAAATGAAGTTTGTTGAAGTGTACTGTAAGTATACTTCTTTTAAACTAAAAAATAAGTGAGCATGCTTTCAGTTTACTTTTTATGTGCTTAGCAGAGATATACTAAACAAAATTATACTGAAGTATACTTGACTTATACTGAGAAGTATGCAGAAGAGTCTGAGTTTATTTGGACTGCACTTGTTTTTAATCTACTTTAATATACTTAGGAAAAGCATAAATAAGTATTCTTGCCTTATAAAGTTTAAGTATACTTGGCATGTAATTTGGGGTGGAATAGCGTAGAGTAAATAGTACGGAACTGATCTTTTATGTAAATTGTACAACCTTTTTGTGGGCAGCCAGGGACTGATTTTGGAGAGGTTGCATGCCACAAATTTAATCTTTGTTTGAAAAATTTGATTTATAAAGAAAACCAATATGTTCTTAATCCTAATTATGTCTTGGGAATTTTATGTTTTGTCTACTGGTACTGTGTTTACATTACTGAACTTTAAGTTTGCTTAAAGTACTTTTAAAGGTATATTTCATGAATAAAAAAATAATACCTGAATAGAAACCTAGCACTATAGTTTTAAATGCAAAATAAGTAGTAAACTATAAGTACTACAAGTCATTTTTTTTTACCAAAAAAAAAGCGTAATTGCAATATATAAACTATTAAAATAGTTAAGTATACTTTCATTACCTAAAATGTGGGATAGAAGTATATAGCTAGTAAATGAACAGTATACTTACTAGTTCGCAGTGTAGTTGCAGTACAAAATAAAACTTACATGTAAACTAGTTGTGTACTCCATCTTTACTACTCTTACACCTAAAGAATACTTAAAAGTATACTTTTATAAACTAAAACGTGGGCCAATTTAGTTCCAAGAAGTACTGAAACAGTACAAGCGTTAAAAGGGAATTCCACTGATATTTAAAAGTTAAGCAGCTATAAACAACGTCATTTAGATTGATTTGATTTGATGTGAAATGTTTTATTCTAGAGAGTCAGAATTGTTCACCGTGGTGGTGATATGAACCAGAGGCCTGAAGAGTTTAATGCCTCTAAAAGTTCCCTCACAAAAACTTACTGCATGAAAAACATCTGTTGTTGAAAAACACATTCATGGTGAAGAGGTATGGTTTCAAGGTCCCCGCATTTACAACTGTTTTGCCATTATCAACATCTAAAAACTCTGGACACACGCGTAGGTTCACCAGTCATTTTGGACAGAAATAAAATGAATATATCTGCATTGTAGACATCATGATAGTTTTAAACCTAATACATCACGTATTCAAAACAACAACAAAAAAGCATTCAAATGGAAACCAAACCACATATATGTATGTGCATATATATATATATATATATATGCACACAAATATATTTGGTTTGATGTGAAATGTTTTATTCTAGAGAAATATTATTAGGAAATAAACTTCAGTTTATTTCCTAATAATATTATTCTAATATTATTGGAAAATATGTAAATAAATTAAATACCTTGATTTGATTTATGATCTCATCATTTTGAGGCACAGCTGGGTTGATGGCTACAAGAATGTCAGTGTATCCATTTCCATCCAGTTTGATTCCTGTATTTGGTCCCAGTGCATTGAGGAGCAGCAACACTACAGCAAATGCTTTGGCCATGACTTCAACACTGAAACAAGAAGCCCAGAGTGTAACTCTTATACTGTAAGTTGTATCACTCTTACAACATCACACTTATAATTTGTGTTATAAGGAGGAAAACACCTACAGTCAATAAAGTTGTGGAAATCACTCCTTTTATTAGCAGGGATGGTTGGAAAAGCCCGGCCTTTGTCCAGCTATTGTAAAACATCCTGTCATAAGTTGTAAATCCTGTGTTAACCGGGTTAATTGGGTCTAGATAAGGCTTTCATAAACTCTACCTCTTACTTGTCATTTGCGTTGGAATATTAGTCAGTAACTGGACAAATCTCCAACATATTGTATGTGTTGCTTTGGCACAGTACTCCAACCCCTTTAATATGAGGCAATTTTTATACAGTCTTAAAAAAGATGGTTCTTCTAGGGTTTATTAAAGGGAATGGTTCTATTAAGAACCAAGAGTTCTATATAGAACCATTTCATGCTTAAATGGTTCTTTGCATTTACATTTACAGCATTTAGCAGACGCTCTTATCCAGAGCGACTTACAAAAAGTGCTTTGTCTATCCAGAGAAAGTATCTTTGCTAGTTACCAATAGGTTAGAGAGAAAGCCAGTCCTGAGCTCAGATACTGCTAGAATCAGAAAGTCATTATTGACACCTAGAGAAAAAGGAACAGAGTTAAACACAGAGCAGTGCAATACAATATAATACATAAGTGCAGTACAATACCTTACAATCAATACTTAATTCAGTGCTCATTTAAGTGCTGTATAAACAGATGTGTCTTCAGTCTGCGTTTGAAGACAGCGAGAGACTCTGCTGTACGGACAGCCAGTGGGAGTTTGTTCCACCACCTGGGTGCCAGCACAGAGAACAGTCTTGATGCTTGCCTTCCGCGCGCCTTGAAGGATGGCGGGTCAAGTCGAGCTGTGCTCGAAACTCGAAGGGCTCGTGTTACAGTTTGAGATTTCACCATTGCCATCAAGTAGGAAGGGGCTGGTCCATTTTTGGCTTTGTAAGCAAGCATAAAGGTTTTAAATCTGATGCGTGCAGCTACAGGAAGCCAGTGAAGGGAGCGTAGCAGTGGGGTGACGTGGCTGAACTTGGGGAGATTGAAGACGAGCCGTGCTGCTGCATTCTGGATGAGTTGCAGAGGCTTGATGGCCTGCATTGGAAGACCAGCCAAGAGCGAGTTTAAGTAGTCAAGCCTTGAGATGACAAGAGACTGCACTAGTACCTGGGTGGCCTCTTGAGTGAGAAAGGGTCGTATCCTCCGGATGTTATACAGGAGAAATCTGCATGACCGAGTTAGGTTCGCAATGTGAGTCGAGAACGATAACTGGCCATCCAGAAACTTCTTGCCTCTACAGATGGGAAAATCAGAGAGTTCTCGAATGAGATGGTAAGATCATGATGAGGACCTGTAGTTGCAGGGATGAACAGCAGCTCAGTCTTGCTAGGATTGAGCTTCAGGTGGTGAGCTGCCATCCATGAGGAGATGTCAGACAGACATGCTGAGATCCGACTGGAAACCTGTGTGTCAGAGGGTGAGAAAGAAAGCATTAGTTGAGTGTCATCAGCATAACAGTGATAAGAGAAGCCATGAGATGATATTACATTGCCAAGAGAGCTAGTGTAAAGAGAAGAGAGAAGAGGACCTAGCACCAAGCCTTGTGGGACACCAGTGGAGAGCCTGCATGGAGAGGATGTGGACCCTCTCCATGTTACCTGGTATGAGCGATCTTCCAGATAGGACTTGAACCACTTCCATGCAGAGCCAGTGATTCCAAGGTTGGTGAGGACATCCAGAAGGACCGTGTGATTGGCCATGTCAAAAGCTGCTGAGAGGTCAAGAAGAATCAGGACAGATGACAGACAGCTGATCTTGCTGACTGGAGCTTCTCGGTCACAGCTATAAGAGCAGTTTCTGTTGAGTGCGCTGGTTTGAAGCCAGACTGGTTGGGGTCCTGGAGCTGGTTCTGTGTGAGAAAGAGAGACAGTTGATTATAGACTGTATGTTCAAGAATTTTTGAAAGGACAGAAAGGAGTGATACCGGTCTGTAGTTGTTGATATCAGAGCTGTCAAGCGTGGGCTTCTTCAGGATAGGAAGCACTCTTGCAGTCTCTTCGCATGGTGAAATGGTTCTATATGGAGTGACTGGTTGGTGTATATATGTACTTAAATGTAATTAATTCTCAAATAAGAGAACATCTTCCAAAAATGAAATAAATCCAAATAGAAGCCCCAGGCTCACCTTGAATACTATAAGAATTTGATAACCAAAGAAAAGAATAATAATGAAGCCCTAACTTTAGATGGCTAACATTGGAACTTGGGTCAAATATCTCACATTTTATAAACGTGGCTGTTGAAATTAAGTTTTAAGTATATCACACAGCTAATACATACAACTTTGAAACTACTGCATCTGAATAAATAAGGCAAGTTGTCATCCTCTATTCTGAGCTATTTATGACCTCCAAATCATCAGGAATATAAGTCACACATTTAAAGCTAAATTAGTGTTATCAAAGGTAGCTAAGATAAGATCAGATAAGACTTTATGGATCCCACATTAGGGGTTATCAGTAGACACACAAGCACCATCAGTTTGTCGAAGACAGTAAACCTAGTTTCAGTTCTGACAAAATAATATTGTTCTCAATGAGGTTAATTTCTGCTCTCATATTCTTGAAGGACCATCTTACTTTGGTAATCTTCATGTTTTCAGCTTTAGCATAGTGCATTAATGTACTGTTAACTGAAAATTAAAAGGCCAAATTATCTTATTTCAATTGAGAGATTTTTGCACATTTGTTTTTCCTGTGCTGGATTTGACTTGGGCAGGACAATAATGTAGGACACTGACATCAAGTGAAGTCTCTTAATGGCTTCTTACCACAGCCCTGCCCCACGCAAACCAAAATCTCTTTAGTGCCTGACTGATTACCACTGAGCCGTTGGCTGTGTCCAAAACTGAAGGCAGCTGTCTCGATGTCTTGCTCACTGTTTCATAAGTCGGGGCCTGCGAAGGCAGTGTTCTCCACTGTGTCAGCACTGGTATTTTCAGTGTGGACACAGAGGATTGTAGGATAGGTAGGATGCAAAAAATGGCTGAACGGAGGAACCTAGTTCTGTAGATTAATGGAGAATATGTGTATATAGATCTATATAGCATAAAAAAGTCTAATCCTTGGACACATTTTTGGAGCATACAAAAAGTAAAATAACCACTTCGTAGTCTTTCTATTCTTGTTTTAAGAATCTGGGGCCCACTCACTACTGCAGCCACACCCTTCACTTAATTTTGACCTTTGGTATCAACATAGATAATTTAGTCATTGTACCCCAGTCTCAGATCATTACTTTATGTTGTATGAAATCCTGTACAATCATAATATTATCATCATAATAAGTTCATCCCCACACTATTTGTAATTTGACAGGCATATTATAACATCCTCATAGTTTTATTGGAAACCTCCCTGATTTATTAGCTTCTATCTGCTATCAGCTCACAGAATGGGTTATTAAGGCCAAATACTTTAGATAATGCGGCACCACTACGAAGTAAAAGAATTAGGCAAAAAAAAACTGGTAAATTGTTATTTCTCCACTCTGATTGACAGTAACAAGAATAATCCTACTATGATACTAATATTATCTATTTTTCACCATTTCTAAATTAAATAAGAACCAGGTGGCTACTGAAATCCAGACACTAACAGCTTGCAGCAGCAATGACTTCATGAATTTTCTTAATGAAATTGAAACTATTAGACAAAAAATTCTAACTGCACAGTTAACCTCAATAAATCTGCTGCCTTAAACAACCTATCCAGATCCTGAGTACAGTGTAACCACTGCAGAGAGGCTGGAATCATTTTGGAGAAAGCTGCGGCACAGCAGTTCTTACATGCATAAGAATCAAATACGTGAAAATTATTAGTCAGGATTTAGGCTTTATCATAGTACAGAGACAGCACTAGCAAAATTCTAAATGACCTCTTATTAATTTGTGACCAAGGAAATGCATCTTTGCTTGTTCTGCTTGATCTTAGCACAGCATTTGATATAACAGACCATTCTATCTTACTAGATAGGCTAAAAAAGGAGTTACAGGAATAACTCTTTCCTGGTTCAGATCTTACCTAACTGATCGCTATCAGCTTGCAATTATAAACAGTGAATCATCTGCACATACAAAAGTAAAGTATGGTGTCCCACAAGGCTGTATTTTAGGACCTCTACCACTGGGTACTGTTATCAGCAAACATGACATCAAATACCACTGCTATTCTGATGACACCTGAAAGTATATATCATCCAAACGCAGTGATAAAATGTCAACTTTTTAAGATTGAGGACTGTGTAAAAGACATAAAAGTATCCTATACAATTCAAAACAGAGGTTTGTATTCTTGATCCAAAAGCTGCTAGAAACAAACTGTCTGATTTAATGCCAATAGCTTGATAGCTTCTCAGTTGCATCAGGTATATCTGTGAAAAAAAAGATTTGTCTAATGATGAACTTATAAGCAATATTATTGGAATAGTTCGCCTTCGTCTATTGAAATATTGCTTAAAAAATGGGTAGGTTTTGGATCATTGTCCTGGCTTTAATAGAATCCATTCTTCCACCCATGCAGTGTTTCCTGTGCCACTGGCTGCCACACTACCCCATAGCATTCCCATGCCTAACAGTTGACAAGGTGTTCTTTTCATCAAATGCTGCTTTTCCCCATACATACATTTGGTGATTGTGGCCAGAGAGTTCAATTTTTATTTCATTAGTCCACACCACTTGTTTCCAAAATGCTTTAGCTTATTTGGATGTTGTTTTGCATACTTCAGATGCTGACTTTTGTGATGAAGTCACAGGTAAGGTTTCCTTTTGATGAGGCTTCCTTGTAGATTATAAATATATTTATATAGAATATACCATAGCCAAAATGAGCACTTACAAAGCCTCAATGTACAAATCCAAATTATTTATTAAAAATCAGCGATAGTGAGTCAATGATGAGGCAGTGTATGTCAGCTTATAAAAGCTCATAAGATATATTGTATGGAGGACAAACATGAAGGATGAATAAGAAATGATGACAAAACAC